TTACCTTGTAGGAGGAAAAGTCCTGCAGATTTGATAAAAACCAAAGTGCGTCTTTACACCTCTACTGTGAAGAAAATTGGCACCGTCATGTTTCACAACGATGGGGTTCAAATAAAGGTGCTTTTGGCTTTCTCATTAAAAAAAATTGTATTCAAAAATATACGGTTAACGATGCAACCGTAAGTTTTCGATATCTAGTACACAAAAGTGACAAGTGAGTCCAAAAAAGTAAGTATGACATTCCAGGACAAAAAAGTGACACTTCATGGTCGTGATTGGGAGTAAAGTGACTAAATTTGTGTTGCTCACCTAAAAAATCACATTTGATTTTGTTCACCTACAAATCTGATTCCACGAGAAACGTTCCCTGTCTATTATTTTTTTCACGTTTATATTTTGATGCAACTCTAGCAAAAGTAATATTTTTTCTACTGTTTTTATATTTTTCAAGGATCCTGGTTAACTAACCATAGATAAACTTATCGTAACAATAAAAATAAAAAATGAAAAAAAAAAACTTCAGCCACTGTAATAAACAACACTTATAACAAATACGTACAAAAATTGACAAGTTAAAACACATTTCGTATTTTGTGTTAACCTATTATTAGGTTATATATTTACATATTTTAACTACTATCAGCACAAACAATGTAAGCGGTGATAACAGCGTGACATGTCAGATTTTTTGTTATTTCCATTTAAACACAAATAAATTTAAAAGTAAAACTAACAGCCGAAGCAGTGCTAGTTAATCAAAACAGTTACAATATTCCTAAAAAAATTGTGATTTTGTTTATATGTGTCCTCAATATGAAACAACAAAACACTTTTCACCTCTAATATGAGAGAAATAGAGAGAAAAAAGATAGTATTAACGTATATTTTTGGAATTAGAATTTGAGATGCAATACATAAATATCAATAACTGTGGCATTTTCGCACATAGGTTTAGAAAAGACAACTTTTTTTTTATTTTGGCATACTGATTTATTACAACAATCCTTTTGTTTTGTGTTTTTTGAATTTATGTAAAAATTGCGAGTTGCGTTTTGTTTGTTATAATGTGGTATTGTTATAAATAAGTATGTAGGTACCTATAGGTATGTAAATAAATAAAGTCGGATTTTACTTTGTTACGATTAACTATGAAATTATTTTTTGTTATCTGATAAACTGAATAATTTTTGATAATTATATTTACCTTGATTTATTTAGAGATTGCGCTGTCATATATTTATGTTTGTCCCAAAAATATAGAGTAAATTAAAACATGTTGTTCGCAGGAATGTTAGAGCTGATAGTTTACATTAATGACGTTTCGAACAATTAATAACGTTGTCAAAGTTATGATATATGTTCGGAACTTAAAAAAAGAATAAAAAATTTGCTAACAAATACAAAATGTTTATAATAATGCTGTGCAAAAAATTTGAGGTTTGCTCAAATCGTCAGCGGTTTTAAATGAATTTGTAATAATTAAAATATTTCATTAAAAAAAAAACATGAAAATTAATGATGCATTGTTCTTATTTTACTGAAGGTGTTTAAAAATTGAAAAATTCATTTTTAAAAGAATATTTTTGATGATATATAAAATTTTTACCGTAGCTGTAATACAATTTCGTGATCTATAATCCTCTGTAATTACATTATGAATTTGCTAGAATTAATTCCCCACATAAATTTTTAAAATACAGAATTTGTACGTTAATTATAAATACATACAAATTTAATTAACCACTAATATCCCCAAAGCTGCTGTGCTTGTAATAATCAAATAAAACAGGCTCGTAAATTATTTTAAGTAGACTTCTGGAAAATTGTTAAGTAGATTTTTAGTAGGAAAATAACATGCGACAAAATGCGCGCAATGTTAAAACTAATTGTTAGGTGAAATCAGGTTAAATAATATAAATAAATAGATACTTAATGATTTTCGTTGAAATTAAAATTTCAAAATAACGCCACGTTTTCTGCAAATTACACAAATGACCTTGTGTTGTCCTTGTATTTTCGGTCCAAACCAGCAGTTCGCCAAAAGCCGGTTTCATTACGTTTTGAGCAGTCTTGTCACAATCCTGTACACCATTTCCCGTTCCCAATTTAGTTGATCTCCCCCGAATCTATTCACAAACTTTCAAGATGACTTATTCGCTTCTGCCTCCTAATCTCCAAACCCATAAAACCTTCAATACGTCATCTCCCTTGTTTCGTCCAAACCGCAGCACCTCATTAACATTTCAATTTCGGTCAATATTCGAACGGTGTTAAGAATCCGCCATGAAATAAAAGTGTTCACGCTGAAATTATGTTTATAGTAACAGTTATGTTAAGGGCACACTTGTTGTTCACCAGAGAGCTTCGTGCCTGTGGGATCTATCCTCGTCCTTGTTTAGGTAAAGTAAAACACCGAAAGCTCTATTGCACTCTCGACGATCTCGGGAATCGAGTTTAGTACTTCATAAACTAGAGGCGCACGCGAGCTTCCGAGGTTGAAATCTTAGGTTACAGAAGAGGGCTGTTATGGTGCCGTAAAGACGAGTGATTTGATTTTATGTGTTTCGGTTAAATATCGCTTTATCCGAGCGGGGTGCTCTTCCCTTAACGGCAGAACGAATGAACTGCTGAAAGTGGGACGAATTTTCAACATCAATCAACGCAGAACTAATTTCAGGACGGGATTTTTTAATTGGGATTATTTCGACGTTAGCGGCGCTGGAGGTGGTCCAAGGGGACGCCGAATTGTTGCGACTTTTAAATTTTATGAAAGGAATTCGTTAATGACCGACGCTTTGTCATATTTTATATTATGCAAAATAAGGCGAAAGTGCTGATGGCAGAAATAGCGTCGGATGATTTGTTGCTTCCTATAAAGGTGATGATCGTAAAATTAAACACGAAGAAATATGTGGGTGTGTATACTCTAGAAAAATTAATTGCGATGAACTGATTAGATAGATCTCAATTAATTTCAAATTTGTTGTGCTAAAATTTACAGATTAGTTGTACAGAAATGCTTTGAAATATGTAGTTCACTAAGAAGTAAAAATCTCCACTACTAATAAACAGAAACTAAAGCTAAAACTGACCTTGATCACAATTAGTACTGTTTGATAAAACTAAAGAAAATAAAATGTCTTAGAGGCATGTTAAAACATCAATACTGTTGGTAAATATAAACATATGGATTGACGCTATTTATATAAAAATTTAATTTAATGGACTATCGTGGCAAAATAAATATTAAAATATTTATTAGATGTTGAAAAACTAATTATAAAGTTGAACTGTAGGCACCATACTGTTGCAGATTAAACATTGAACTGCTCGTTTTTGCAAAAAAGGTTATGTAAGAAAATAGCTTAACGCATGTAGCAGAACCGATGATCTTTTTTCAGATTAAAAAAATTTACCCTAAAAAACCAAATAGTATGTAGATAACAAATTAACGGTTACAAGTAAACGGTTGATGAGCCTTCCAAATAAAGATCTATCAATTTAAAGCAAGTGAATTGATATGGATTGATGTTAATAGTTTATAACAATCGTAAGATTGTTCTAGTGAGGAAAAATTTGCTCATGTGGTAATGAACTTTAAATTAATTTAATTCAAACACATCAAGTTAAAAAGGTTTAGCATATACCAGTGTGACAAATTATTACTTGAAGATATATAGGAAATGATCATTCAGTTTACGATAAACATTGGCCATGATAAAGAAACTTTAACTTAAAATAAAAATGTTTTTTACTATACATTTAAAACTTAATTTTACTGTCTTTAAATTTTTTTTCTAGATAATTACACAATTTTCAAAAATTTTTAAAAGTACCTTATTAATTTGTTAAAATTAAAAAATAAGATTATGAAATGCTGCATTTTATTTCTTAAACGAAAAATACAAACAATATGTAAGAGTAACGTATGAGTGTATATTATGTTATAAAATTAATGTAACTATTACTACTCAATATGATGAGTGGACGTCATCAAATTTTTGGTGGGCAGGATTGGACAAATTTTGGTTAGGATTTTACCATCTGCACGATATTCCTAACATACTTATAAAATTTTACAAGAATCTATCTGGTAATTTCGTGGATTATCCGTCTAATTAAAATCGACACAGACAGACAACAAACGATAGACAAATGGAAACGCGAAACCTACATTTTCGAACTCTAGAAATATGCAAACCATGAAAGTGGCCAGTCGCCCAATCACAATACTTCCTTAGCTTACAGTCGCTAAGTAAAAACGTCAGCTGTCTTCTAAGTACTTTTAAATTTAAACTTGCCCCATTTTAAAGTAGTATCTACATACCTACATTAAATGTTATATCACTGAAAAACAAAATACATAATATATACCTACTATTTGATTGTTAAAAAATGAAAAAATCAATATTTTACAATATAATTTTTGCGTCAACTCTTGAGAACAAAACAAGTTTTATTTTTCAGATATTATAATATTACAAAGGACAAGTAAAGAAGGATTCTGCACTTTACATGTTGTTTTGACTCGTTAAAGTCGAATGTTGATAGATTGAATTAAAAACACCTTGTTAACAAATAACACTTTACTTCTCTTACGCTTACAGTACGAACTTGAACTTGTGATGTCGGAATGTGGGTTCGTAATGGTCGTTTTAGGTACTTGGACCGACTGACAAAATGATGGGGGTGGAGCTTACGACCCTTCTACCTGGAAGGGTCTACTCATTGTTGTACATAGATTGTACATACTGCCCCCTTAAGGTATATATGCCTTAATACTAGTATAACAATGACAAAACATTTGGGAATTACATGATGCATAAACACAAAGGCATCAAAGACTTAATAAAATGTACAGTAGGAATAAATGTGTAACATATATACAAAGGGCATCAAGACTTAATACATATATATCGTAAACAATAGCAATAACTTTCACTTATATGCACTAAGCGAATCATCACTGCACATCACTAATGACAGGCCATATGATTATTTCACTGCGCGTCACTGATATTTTCTGTCGGAAGCAAGCACACTTTCTTCACAGTACGTTGGACGATCCCGTTGGTCGTTTTTACACTGACGACTCGTATCTGGCCATCGTCTCCTGGGTGCACGTCGCATATTCGCCCCATCCTCCAGGATAGGGGAGGGAGGTTGTCTTCCACAAGGACCACCATAGATCCTACTAGATCCGGATTATTATTGTTCTGGAACCACTTGCCGCGGCTCTGTAAAGTCGTCAAATATTCCCGTGTCCACCGGGTCCAATAATGATTTCGAAGCCTCTCCACTAGCTGCCACCTGGACAGCCGATTGAGTGGGATTTCCTGGAGGTCGTACTCTGGAAGCGCGGTTAGTGGCTCTCCAATCAGGAAATGGCCGGGAGTAAGGACTTGGAGGTCGTTAGGGTCATTGGTTAAGGGTATGAGCGGTCTCGAATTTAAACAAGCCTCGATACGTACGAGTAGTGTGTACATTTCATTCATTGTTAAATGAGAATTACCGACCGTTTTTTTTAAGTGCTTCTTCATACTCTTTATATTCGCCTCCCAGAGTCCTCCCATGTGGGGAGATTTCGGTGGAATTAGATGCCAATTGACATTGATATTTGAGAGTTCACGGCTGATTTGACCCTCGTGTTTTCGCAAAAATTCAGCTATCTCCCTCAATTCATTTTTTGCGCCGATGAAGTTAGTGCCGTTGTCGCTATGAATATCGCGAGGGTGGCCACGTCTGCTCATGAACCGACGTAACGCAGCAAGAAATTCGTCTTTGGATAAGTCGCTAACTATTTCAATATGCACCGCCTTTGTCGCGAAACAGATGAATAGTACGATGTAGGCCTTTATTAAACGTTTACCTCGTCCTCGCGATTCTTTAATTAGGATTGGTCCCGCATAATCTACTCCTGACGTTAAGAATGGTCGCGCCGGTTGCACTCTGGGCGCGGGAAGATCTCCCATTTTGAACTTTGGGCGTGTCGGATTAATTTTAAAACACGGATGGCATTTGTGAAGTATTTGTCGAATGACACTTCTTGCGGAAATGATCCAAAAACGTTGGCGGATGGACGCCAAGGTGGCCTGGGGGCCGGCATGAAGAAGGCGTTCATGCTCTTGTCTTACTAGTAACTTAGTGACCACGCTATTTTTGGGCAATAAAATAGGGTGTTTTACGTCTCTATCGAGTGCTGAGTTTTTCAGCCTGCCCCCAACCCGTATGAGTTTGTTTTCATCCATAAATGGATTTAATGAAAGTATTTTAGAGTTATTCGAGAGCGCCTTATTTTGGTTTAGATTATTCCAATCACCGGTAAATTCTACCTGTTGGACTATGCGGATTATGCCAAATAGTGCTTCGTTAAGCTCTTTAGTAGAGAGATTGGAATTACGTATTTTGTTAGTATTTTTGCAATTATTAACGAATCTAAGAATCCACGCCATGACTCTTTGCAATTTATTGAAGGTGGAGTATTGGTGCAACAATGCCTCTGATATCGTACCTGCGCTGCATACGATCACCGGATCCTTTTTCTCTGGTACATTATCGTGATTAACATTTAAGTGAGATCGTGGCCATTGATCTTCAGGGAGTTTTAGAAATTCTGGTCCGCTGAACCAGATTGAATTTTGGATGATTTCTGATGGGTATGCGCCTCTACTTAGGATATCTGCCGCATTGTTCTCGGAGTTAATATGGCGCCAAGCGGTTGGCTTTGTCAGAGCAGTGATTTCCGAAATGCGATTTCCTACAAAAATGTTTAACGAATTCGCGGGAGTGTGGATCCATGCCAGTACGATGCTCGAGTCAGTCCAGAAGATTTCTCTAATGATTTTGATAGAAATGTTTTGCCGTACTTTCGACATTAGCTGCGCCAGCAGCAACGCTCCGCATAACTCGAGTCGCGGTATGGTCATCGTCTTCAAGGGCGCGACGCGCGATCTCGCACACATGAGTTTTATTTCGTACGCACCAAATTCATTCAGCACCCTCAGATAGACGGCTGCTCCATAGCCCTGTTGGGATGCGTCCGAAAAGCCGTGGAGTTCCGCGCTTATCACGAGCGAGTCCGATATAGTTTTACGTGGGATTTTTATGTTCTTTAAATTGTGTAATTCGGCCAAAAACGTTGTCCATGCGCTATGTATGGATAATGGTACCGATTCGTCCCATCCCAATTTTAACGACCATAACTGTTGTAAAATGATCTTAGCCTTCATTATTACCGGGCCGATGAGACCCAGCGGATCAAAAATTTGAGACGAGAGTGATAGGATTACGCGCTTCGTTACCCTTTTGGGTGTGTTTCCTAAACAAAAATCATATCCCAGCGTGTCGTATTTGGATTCCCAAGATAAACCTAAGATTTTCGTTTGTTCATTTTTATTTAAATCTACCTGACCTCTTGAATTATTGCCCTCACAATTAGGCAAAATTGAATCGTCGTTCGAGTGAAATTTTCTTATCTCGAACTGCCCTTGTTTTAGAATATTAATTACCTGGTCTCGTATTTGAATTAATTCAGGAATCGAGTCGGCACCTGTTAGCAGGTCGTCCATGTAAAAATTGTTTTTTATTACGCGACAGGCAGTGGGAAACTTTTCTTCGTTGATTGTTGCTAATTCCGCTAAACATCGCGTCGCTATAAAACTTGCAGGCTTGGTACCATATGTTAATGTTAACAACTTATAGGTTTGTAACGGTTTATTAGGGTCGTCGCGCCATAGGATTAATTGGTAATTAGCATCTTCATCGTTAACGCGAATTTGGCGGTACATTTTTGCAATATCCGCGTTTAATGCAAATCGAAAAGTTCGGAATTGTAAGATTATCGAGAATAGATCACGTTGAATAACTGGACCGCGCATAAGATTATCATTTAGACTTGTTCCGTTTGCAGTCGTTGCGGAAGCGTCAAAAACGACTCTTAATTTGGTGGTGGTGCTGGACTCTTTATGTACCGCATGATGAGGTAAGTATAATGTGTTAGTCTTTGGATTATTCGACGTCAACTGCATATGCCCTAGCGCGAGATATTCATGCATAAATTTTGAATAGGCCGTCTTAAGATTTTCGTCCTTAGCAAATTTTTTCTCGAGACTAAAAAAACGCTTCATTGCTAATTTTTTTGACTCCCCCACGTTTATGTTATTACCCTTTGTCGGGAGTTTAATTATGAAACGGCCCTTTGTATCGCGTATTGTTGTTGTTTTGAAATGTTTTTCACATTTCAGCTCTTCATCAGATAGGGTTTGCTTATCATGAAAACCTGTGCTACCGCCCTCGACTTCAAAAAATTTAGCAACTCGTTCTTCCATTGAATCTTGAGCGGTTACAGCCAGATTACAATAAGCCGTATTTATTGCGGAAGTATTATGACGATTTATTGCAGGATGTGCATTAGATTTACTACAGTACGGGCCGCCCGCAATAAAACCGAAATGGGTTTTTTGAAACACTAATCCAGTAGGTAGAGAGAATTGGCCTACGCATAACAATGACCAGAAGAGCCCGCCGCCTATTAGTACGTCTACCTTGGAGCTTTCATAGAAATGAGGGTCCGCCAATTGCACATCTTTCGGAATTTCCAAATCGTCTGGGTTTAATGGTACCAGCGGCAAACTTTCCGTAATTTTGTCAACGACAATGCATTTTACATTTCCGGCTGAATAAGCATTATAACGGGACTTTATATTGATGAACACCGCTTGAGTCGTATTACTGGTGGTACCATTTACGCCTTTAATTTCAAAATTTTCTTTAAAGCTCCGTAAACCTAATTCCTTGCACGCCTTTTTCGTGATACAATTCGACATTGATCCCGGATCTAGGAATATTCTGCGTGGCTGATTTTGATTTTTTGAATTTTTGATTAGTACTATCGCTGTAGCTAACAATACTGTATTAGATTGATTTGAATAGGTAGAGTGGTTAGCGTGCGTTGAGACATTATTAAGCGTAGTTGTATTACCCTGTTGACTTGAGGTGTCAACGTGGAGTAACGAATGATGTTTTTTATTACAATTGCGGCATTTAGTGGTTACTCTGCAATTTTCGACAAAATGATTATTTCTCAAACAATTGATGCACAGTTTTATAAGCTTGACCTTTTCAAGTCTACTTTGTACTGATAGATTAATAAACTCAGGGCATTGATGAATCATATGTTCATTAGACTTACAATATGAACAGGAGCTTCGTTTTGGTTTGGTAGTCGCTAAATGTGTTGTAGTGCGTTTTGTAATTTGATTGCTCTTCGAATGAGTATTATTTTGATTGCCCGAATTTCCGCAACTGTTTAGAGCTTCTAAAACCGTAACACGCTTTTCTAGGAAACTTATAAATTGTTCGTAAGTAGGAACCCTGGTATCTAAGGACGTTTGCCATTCCCGTTTTGAATTAAAATCTAATTTTTCCGCGATTATCGGAATTACTAACGCGTCCCAAGATTCTACTGGAATTTTTAATGTTTTTAAGGCAGCCATATTAGTAATGACGTTGTCTAGTAATTCACGAAGTGCGGCCGGGGAAGATTTGAGTAATAGCGGAGTATTTAAAATTGACATAACGTGATCCTGAACGATTAATCTAGTGTTTTTGAACCGTTTTTCTAGAATTTCCCACGATTTAGAATAATTTTCATCGCTAATGGATAAGGATTCAATCGCTCTTAGGGCTTCTTCGCGTAGGCACGATTTTAAATATTGAAGCTTTTGTCTATGATTTAATGATTTATTCTCGTCTATTACGGATTTGAAACAATTTTCAAAGTTTGTCCAGTCTTTGTAACTACCTGAAAATGTTTTTAAGTTTAACGCCGGTAAATTTAGAATACATTCTTTATTGTTTTGATTCGTCTGCAAAGTGGACGTCGAAGACTGATACGAATTTGAGCTTTCGCTTTTCTCAATAATCTCGATTATTTCCCCCATAAGATCACAATATTTATTTTCGAAATTAATTCGAACGCTACGGTGTTGCGCTTTAGATTCTTCTGTTTTAGAGTCTAATTTTTCTAGCTCATACTGGTTTTCTTCAAATTCTACCCTGAGACTTTCAAGAATGTTTCGACGCGCTTTTAAACGGCTGATATTGTCATTTTGCGTATTAAACCTTTGTAGGTAGTCTTCTATACGAGATAACTTTTCCAGAATTGTGCTTTGAACGCTTCTAGCTTCGTCGGCTTTTGTCATTTTACGAGATTGATAAATTAACGTTAAGAAGGATTTAAGAATAAGTGATTATGTTTATATTAACAATAGGGAACTACAGAAAATTTATTTGCTATATGCAACTTCCGACTTTCTGTTTAGAATTTGAATCACGATGAGAAACGCACTAAAGAAATATATAATAAGTTAAAAACTTTAACGAATAAATTGCTTAACGCACGTACTGTGTAACTATAATAATATGACTGAATGAGATATAGAGGTTGGCTATGTTTTCAAGATTTGATTTCTCACTATCTACGAATTAACTTGCAATAATGAGAGTGGGCAGACGAGTTAACGATTTGATAAAGTTTGAGCCTAATTACCACCGTAATTATGAATAAAGAATTAGAATTCGATCGAGATTACGACTGATCCAAAGCGTAATTATAATTGAAAAATACGAATTATTTAGATTTAGCTTATAGAATGAATTAAGGACTTTCTGAGATTTTACAAAAACCACGATATGACTTATTGAATATGTGATGCGATTTATAAATTCATCTAGCGACTTTGGGAGATGAATAGAATTAGAATATAAGAGAAATGACGCGTATTATTATATAAGGCGTAATTTGAATTAGAATAAATACTTAGATACCGCACAACGCGAACCAAGGCACGCCCAAATTCGAGATTAGTGGAACGGGATTGAATAGGATAAGAATGAGAGCCACTAACCTGATAATGAAGACGTCGTCGATTCTTGATTCTGCTTCTGATTACGGCACCGATTTTGCAAGAGTTATAACCGCTGCAATCCGGCTCGAAGGACCATGTTTTGACTCGTTAAAGTCGAATGTTGATAGATTGAATTAAAAACACCTTGTTAACAAATAACACTTTACTTCTCTTACGCTTACAGTACGAACTTGAACTTGTGATGTCGGAATGTGTGTTCGTAATGGTCGTTTTAGGTACTTGGACCGACTGACAAAATGATGGGGGTGGAGCTTACGACCCTTCTACCTGGAAGGGTCTACTCATTGTTGTACATAGATTGTACACATGTTCTGAAAGTAATATTTTCAAAAAAATAAATTTTAAGTACACCACTACAAAAATAAGACAAATTGATTTATACCACTTTGGAAACGTAGTAAACAATTTAAACAAGAAGACGATGCTATCTCTAGAAAAAACAAAGGTAATATATACAGGGTGAGGCATTAAGTGAGCGGTCTTCGAAATCTTATTAATTATTATTATTATTATTATTATTAGATATAGAAAATGTCGGGGACTAAAGTTGTATGGTGAGTGGCGTACATTAAAATTATTTTCGACTATACAGATTGTTTTGTTTTCGAGGCGTAGCACACAACTTAGTTTTTTTAAATACTATATATTTTTACATGCCATTTTTACACATATTTTTGGAAGTTTATTAGTAACACAAAAAAAAATCGCCAACTTATTTTTAAGATCTGTGTTTCAATATTTAACTGATTGGCAAAGAGAGGTACGCGCTTTGTTATAGTATCAGTTAAATAAAATTTTAATGCACAGAGTATTTAAAAAAAAAATAACTTTACACTTTCAAAAATTATTTTATTAGGTACTGTTTTTATTTCTTTCAATATGTCAGTGTGTCGTTTAAAAAAGTAAAAAATTTCAATATCAACTTTCAGTACAGAAACTACTTAATAAAAAAAAAAGACAAGAAAAAATAGAATGGGATGCAGTAATAATATATAAGGTGTTCTATTTGAAAAAACTGAAATATCGATATTTGAAAACTGTTATCATTTATTAATCAGTCCATCGGGCGACTTGCCACTTTCACTTTTTCGCGACGTTTCATGACTTCAAGAGTACGAAAACAGTGGTTTTCCGTTCCCGTTTGCCTGTCTGGCGTCCATGTCGATTTTATTTGATACGATAGTTGTAAAATTTTGTATGCATATTAGGAATATCATGTAGATGGTAAAATGCTAACCAAAATTTGACTAAACATCCCCACCACCAACAGGATGACATCATCTTTAAATTTATTATAATATATTTACATATTTTTTTAATAAGATACTCGTTCACTTGTGATTTATGCATCCGTGTTGAATTTTCAATATAGACATCCAGAGTTTTGGAAAAAAAATCAAAGTCATATAACAATATTTTCCAATTTAACTTTGGAACTGCAAAACCAAATGCTCCGAAATTTTGCAAACATTTTAAGGTCATCGTAGTTATGGTAAACCATTAATCAAAATGTATTCGTTTATCCCCTCCCAAAAAGTTGATGACGTCATCTCAAAATTACTACTAAACTACTAAATCCGCTCTGAAATATGCAAAATATGATGACTCTATACTTGTAATGTACTCACAGTTCTTACAATTACTTATACAGGGTGGCTCCAAAAAAATAATGAAAATCACTCCATTTTCCACAAAATTTGGGAATGCAGTACTGCTATTATTAGTATTAGACTGCATCTGTCCAAATTGATATACGTGTCTTTGCAAAAAATGTTGATGACGCCATCACAAAATTTTGTAATCGAAAAATTCACCTGACACAAATATATTTTTATTTCGACTTATAAGAGTTATAAAAAATAAAATTCGCAAAATCAAATCTTATAATTTTTGAATAAGCTGGATTTGTTCTACTGTACCTCAGGAGCGAGGAAAGTTCTGTCCAAATAACCTTCGACCAACTTTTTTTATAAACTCCAATTTTATTTCTACCAAAATAAGGCGCATATTTTTATTTACCTGCCCACAAAATATTGTAACCCAGATTTTAAGAATAACCCTGTTGCGATTTTCTCTGTGAATCTTTCCAAAGCTAAAAAATTTCAAGAAAATTGGAATAACTTGGCAACGTCACAGTGTCACAATTTCGAAACTAAACCATGGTTGTAAAGCCTAAGAAAAAAGAGTGAATCAGAATATATCAAAGTAGGTATATAGAGATTTGATGAAACTAAGTTGTGTGTTACACCTTAATAATAGCACACTGTAAGGTTGACGTTTCAGTATATGGTCCTGAAAGAACTGTACAACTTTTTTTTTAAGTCTAATATTTAATGAGATATCGAGGAGCGCGTGCTAAGCGACTCACCCTGGATATAATGATTCTATACCGTTTTTGAGTTAATTTATCATTTCAAATTTCAAATTTCTATCTTTTTAAACAATTGAGGTATTATAATGGGAGTATGTAAACTGACAGGCGCCATTTACATTTTTTTTAAGTATTAAACTAAACCACACATGAAGTGCTACACCATTGAAATAATTGGTTTGAGGGGTTTATACAATACTTCCCTAAAATTATAAGATGACGTAATTAATTTTGAGTTTTTATCTATCATGCTTACGACGACCTTAGAACATTGGTAAAATTTCACAGCAATCGGTTTCCCAATTTCAAAGTACAGTCATAAAATGTTGTTACACAATTTTGATTTTTTTTACACAAAAACGAAATGTCTAGGGTAAAAACTCAACACTAATTCATAAACCACAAGTACAAGGAGTATGTTATTTTATTAAATTTAAATGAGATACAGTTGTAAAATTTGGAGGTGACAACAACAAATTGTTGAAGCGTATGATTATACACAATCCGTCTAGTAGTTTCGGAGATTTTTATTAGATTAATAAAATTTGACACAGATGAAGACGGCACAGCTGGGCGGACGGACGAACGGACCGACAGATAGACAGAAAGAGAGACAAACAGACAGACAGATGATGTATATGTATGTTTTCGTACTTCGGTTACGAAACGCGGAGAAAACATAAAAGTGTCTAGCGAGTCACCCGATGGACTGCAACCGTTCAGGTGTTTTAGAAACTTCTTAAAAATGGTCATCTTAAAGTTGTATATTGATAATACCAAGAGAAAAAAAAAATGTCTATAAAATGTTCTTTGTAATTTTTCAAACACATTTATTTAATAGATTTTGGGAATAACTTCATAAAAGATTTGGTGATAATAAATATATTTATAAATTTCAGTAAATGTGAGTCTCAGAAAAAATTCCACGAATTCTTTGTTTAATTTTTGACATAAAAGGTAACATTTGATATCTATAAATTTAAGTTGTTAGGAAATTTGCACGATCAAATTATGATTTTAAAGAAATTGCTTCGGTAGTTTGTGAAATCTATCTCACAAAGAGACTAGCGATGGAAAATGAACAAATTCTGGTAATATTAAAAAAAAAATTATTCTACAACATTCTAATGTTTCTTCTTGTTTCTTTGTTTTTTATTTGATTCAGACGAATATCAAAGTTAAAATAAATTAATTAATAAATAAATACGGACGCAAATGGCATAATAAATAAAATTTTAGTGTAGTGGACCCTACTATCTCAGTTTAACCCACTTTCCCCTAAACAGCTTTCAATATTACCCATGAATACATGAACACAAATCGTAGGCTTTTGTGTCTATATTCTGATTACAGTTAATTATGCAAAAACGGCTCACTTAGTAGAAGGTTTTTGCACTAAGTCGTTAGCAGAAAAAAATGGTACAAATCTAAGCTTCCGTTTTCGCAAAACAGCTTTTAAAGTATATAAGCTTTTTGTTGTGGAAAAAGCGGGGAACATTAATTCTGCGAATTCTACTGATGCGTATACAGAGCGTCGACCCAACTTAAACTTTTTCTTGCTTTGTAAAAGGCATAATTTACACTGTGATTTAGCTTAGTGCTTAGCAGTTCAAGTAGAAAGTAGTCAAAGCGGGGTCTAAAGATAGTGATTTAATAATAATAATTGAATTCAAGTCATCTTATCTGGGTCCACCAACTTCCAATCCCTTTTTCCATTTCTCCTTCTCCCTTGCGATCCACATCTTCGATCCGAGAGTGCAGGTGATCCTTTCGTTGTCTTAACCAATAAATCATTGTTAAATGCTAAACGACAAAAAGAAGACAAATCGATGTATGGAAGGAAGGAAGCAAGCAGGCTCGAATAAGAAAAAAAACCCTCTCATAAATCCTTCTTTCTTTAGCG